TAGGGGTGGATAGATTAGTGACAGGATTGGGAGTGGGATCAGGAAGTGAGTGGGCCTGACTGGTGCAGAAGGCACCAGGGGAGTGGAAGGGGAGTGGAAGGCAAGGAGGCTGGGGCAAGGCCCAAAAGCCTGTTTACTCTGTGTTACAGGCTTTTTCTAGATGGGGATGGGGAACCATGGAAGAATTTTAAGCACAGTGTTGACATGATCAGGTTTGTTTTAAAAAATCTATTTTGGATGGATGAATTTGTCTTGGGAGAGAATGGAAGCAGGGAGACCAGTTAAGGGAAAATTACAGTGGTGCAACGAGAGGCAGTAAAGGCATTAACTGAGCCTGGTGCTCATCGCTGGATTGGCGATGGTAATGGGACCATGTTTACTTCACTTGTGACTTGTAGCACTCCGGCTGAAGAAGAGGATCTAATTTAGAGTCAATCTGCAGCTTCAGGAAGAGATGGTGTTTGTTATAGAACCGCCCTCCTGATAAACCCTCCTGGTAAACCTGGTAAATCCTCCTGGTAAACCTCGACACACCTGAAGGTGGACTCCACTGAAGCTCACCAGCTTCTATTAAATCCTCGTAGGGTAACTGATAATCCACTAAACAAATGGTCTTCCTGCTTCTTCATCTGATAAGCCTTACACACAGCTATAAAACTCAACTGAATGGGATTCCCTGGTGGCGTAGTGGTTGAGAGTCCACCTACCGATACAGGGGACGTGGGTTCGTGCCCCAGTCCGGGAAGATCCCTACATGCCGCGGTGCGGCTGGGCCCGTGAGCCTGTGCTCTGCAATGGGAGAGGCCATAACAGTGAGAGGCCCGTGTACCGCAAAAAGAAAAGAAAAGAAAAAATTTAATCTGAATGTGTCATTCCCTGGCCAAAAAACCTCTTCAGCTCCTCATTGCATCAGAATAGAATATAAGTGGCTCAGGGGCAGTCAAGGTTTTTCACAATTTCATGCTACCTTACTTCTTCAACCTTATTTTTCCCTAGACTGTATCTTCCTCTCTGAGCAAACTGAGCTTCTACTGGTTTACCACACAGACCTGTTACTTAACTCACCTTCCACCGCCGACAGCCAGGCTTTTACATATCCTGTCTCCTTCAGCACAGAGTATCCTTCCTCTCCCCACTCCATAACACACTGATGCAGGAGATGGATACCAAGTTGCCCATATGCTAGACATTGTCCAACCTGTGGTTCTTAGCAATTTGGGGGGTGGAGAATTCCTGGCACCCTCTCCCCAGAAAAACACACACATGCATATGCACCTCCAGGTTTGCTATAAATTTCATGAGAAGCTGAAGCTATCCTTGGACCTCATATGAGAAGCCTTGTTCCTAGACCCTGGGAATCAAACATGAATGAGAGGGGCCTCCCCTTAGGTCACACCCTTCCCAAGACAGCCCACACCCAGTGACTGAGCAAGGTAGGGGTTTAATGCCTGACCAGTCTGGTCTGGTATCAGACACTCTGACAGGCAATATTCACTCCAGTGTTCTCTGCTAGGTTGGTGGCAGCTTCATTGGGCTGCAACACAGTTTAACTTCTGCCTTTGCCTAATTCTGCTTACCGGGCTTCCCTGGTGGTGCAGTGGTTAAGAATCCGCCTGCTTGGGCTTCCCTGGTGGCACGGTGGTTAAGAATCCGACTGCCAGTGCAGGGGACACGGGTTCAAGCCCTGGTCTGGGAAGATCCCACACGCTGCAGAGCAACTAAGCCCGTGTGCCACAACTACTGAGCCTGCACTCTAGAGCCTATGAGCTACAACTACTGAAGCCCTGTGCCACAACTACTGAAGCCCGTGCGCCTAGATCCTGTGCTCCGCAACAAGAGAAGCCACCGCAATGAGAAGCCCGTGCACCGCAACAAAGAGTAGCCCCCACTCATCACAACTAAAGAAAGCCCGCACTCAGCAGCGAAGATCCAACACAGCCAAAAAATAAATAAACAAAATAAATATATAAATCTGCTTCGCTTTACTTATGTTGGTCCCTAATAAATATCTTGCTCCCCAAACTCCATCTCAATATTTGCTTCCAGAAAATCCAACCTGCAACAGTAGTATTCAACATCATTCCTTACCAAAAACAAAATAAAACCAAAAGCAAAAGAACATAAAACTGTAAACTTAAGATTTGAAGTAGTCTGCTCGGCTGCCTACAGCAGAGAATTGAAGAGAAAACTCCTGAGGGTGCTCCGTTGTCTTCTCCAGGAGTGACAACGCTGCTTTCCCAGTTGAACCCCGTCCTCCTTTGCAATCCACTGAGGGCTGCAATGAGCATCGCTTATCCTTTGGAGCCCTCTGCCAGGAAGAGCCAGTTGTGTGTGGCCCCTGGTGCCTGGCCATTCCCATCCAGGCTGGATTCTCCAGAGTTCCCCAACCAGGGATCAAACCTGGGCCCTCAACAGTGAAAGTGCGGAGTCCTAACCATTGGACTGTCAGGGAATTTCCCACACATGCACAGATTCTTGTAAGCTCCACACAAACAGGATATATAACAATCCCCAAACTCCTGCCAAATTCCTTCTTACTGCGCAGGAGGTAGTCACTCTCCTCTCACAATTAAGCCTGAGTAAGTACCTAGGAACCAGATGTGATAGGTGTATGTTTAACTGCCAAATGTTTCCAGAAGAGCTCTTCTAGTCTGCATTACCACTAGATATAATGTTAGAGCCGTGTAGCTGGCAGGGTCTTGGTGCTCCAGCCGGGTGTCAGGCCTGAGCCTCGGAGGTGAGAGAGCTGAGCTCAGGACACCTGACCACCAGGCACCTCCAGGCCCCACGTAAAATCAACTGGCGAGAACTCTCCCAGAGATCTCCATCTCAATGCTAAGACCCAGCTTCACTCAACGACCAGCAAGTTCCAGTGCTGGACACCCCATGCCAAATAACTAGCAAGACAGGAACACAGCCCCACCCATTAGCAGAGAGGCGCCTAAAATCATAATAAGCTTACAGACACCCCAAAACTCACCACCACACTCAATCTTGGCCACCAGAAAGACAAGATCCAGCCTCATCCACCAGAACATAGGCACCACTCTGCTCCAACAAGAAGCCTACACAAGCCACTGAACCAAACTGACCCACTGGTGGCAGATACCAAAAACAATGGGAACTACGAACCAGCAGCCTGTGAAAAGGAGACCCCAAACACCGTAAGTTACGCAGCAGATGAAGGAGCAAGGTAAAAACCCACCAGACCTAACAAATGAAGAGGAAATAGGCAGTCTACCTGAAAAAGAATTCAGAGTAATCATAGTAAAGATGATCCAAAATCTTGGAAATAGAATGGAGAAAATACAAAAAATGTTTAACAAAGACCTAGAAGAACTAAAGAGGAAACAAACAACGATGAACAACACAATAAATGAAATTAAAAATTCTCTAGAAGGAATCAATAGCAGAATAACTGAGGCAGAAAAACGGGTAAGTGACCTGGAAGATAAAATAGTGGAAATAACAACTGCAGAGCAAATTAAAGAAAAAAGAATGAAAATAATTGAGAACAGTCTCAGAGACCTCTGGGACAACATTAAGCCCACCAATATTCAAATTATAGGGGTCCCAGAAGAAGAAGAGAAAAAGAAAGGGATTGAGAAAATATTTGAAGAGATTATAGTTGAAAACTTCCCTAATATGGGAAAGGAAATAGTCAATCAAGTCCAGGAAGCACAAGTCCAGGAAGAGTCCCATACAGGATAAATCCAAGGAGAAAAACGCCAAGACACATATTAATCAAACTATCAAAAATTAAATACAAAGAAAAAAAATTAAAAGCAGCAAGGGAAAAATAACAAACAAGGGAATCCCCATAAGGTTAACAGCTGATCTTTCAGCAGAAACTGTGCAAGCCAGAAGGGAGTGGCAGGACATATTTATTTATTTATTATTATTAGCAATTTCTTTTTTTTTTCGAATTTTTGAATTTTATTTATTTTTTTATACAGCAGGTTCTTATTAGTTACCCATTTTATACATATTAGTGTATACATGTCAATCCCAATCTCCCAATTCATCACACCACCACCACCACCACCCCCGCCACTTTCCCCCCTTGGTGTCCATATGTTTGTTCTCTACATCTGTGTCTCTATTTCTGCCCTGCAAACCAGTTCATCTGTACCATTTTTCTAGGTTCCACATACATGCGTTAATATACGATATTTGTTTTTCTCTTTCTGACTTACTTCACTCTGTATGACAGTCTCTAGATCCATCCACGTCTCTACAAATGACCCA